TTTATCTTATCTTTGGCATAGCCCTAATATTTTTACAAGCTGTAACTTGTGTGCAGGTGTGGGCGGTAGTGATCAGGATGTGAGACACACAAGTACCTTCCCTTATTACTTTACATACACTAATTGTAAGAATATCACTAAAGCCCCTTTCACACAGAGATTCCGGAAAATACACGGATAATGTGACCCGGCATTTGTCCCAGGATTGTTTGATTTCGGTTCATTTACACTGCCAGTAATTTGCCTGGATATGTGAGTGCGTTCACACACAACCCGTAAAGATCCCGGAAAGACACATGACGTCAGGATGAGACATGTAACGTATGCGTCGAAAACATGTACACACGCATACCGTTCCACAAAGCTGGTGAACGATCTCAGCTTCAGTACAGATAGTGAGGAGCTCCTGGTCTCTGCTTCGTTCCAGTTTGCAGACATTTGTTCGTCCTTTCTTTGTTGATGACGAACACAAACTTTCTTCTAAGAGCAACAGAGTCGCGCAATGGCACAAGCGTCATCACTACGACACACCCCTTACGGCATTGGTCCTGGCTTTTGTTCACACAGAGCGCGTTCCGGGACTGATTCCGGCAATGTTACTAGAGCCCCTTTCACACAACGCGTAGATCCCAGAAAATTCCCGGGAAATTGACAGAACGTCTTCTGAACGCAAACACGACCCGGGATTGATAACGGCATCGATCCCGGGTTGGGGACCTAGTAACATTGCTGGAATCAGTCCCAGAACGTTCGTTGTGTGAACAAAAGCCAGGACCAATGCCATAAGGGGTGTGTCGTAGTGATAACGCTTGTGCCATTGCGCGACTCTGTTGCTTTTAGAAGAAACTCGTAAGTTACACGTCTCATCCTGACGTCATGTGTCTTTCCGGGATCTTTACGGGTTGTGTGTGAACGCACTCACAGATCCCGGCAAATCACTGGCAGTGTGAATGAACCGAAATCAAACAATCCCGGGACAAATGCCGGGTCACATTATCCGTGTATTTTCCGGGAATCTCTGTGTGAAAGGGGCTTAGGTCCCCAACCCGGCATCGATGCCGGTATCAATCCCGGTTGATAAAATGGCAATTTCCCGGGATCAACGCGCTGTGTGAAAGGGGCTTAACACTGATGAATAACAGTAAAAGGTAACATTATTAAATAGCAGTCCCAAACTAGTTTTTGTTAATACAATAAAGTTAGTAAGTTGGTATAAGCCACCAGTCATTTAAAAATATACAAAATAACACGTGAAAATAAAGTGGTATTTTAGTTTAAGGTTGCAGAAACTACAGTTACTGTGGTAAATACACACTAATCAAGCGTAGTGTCCATTCTGGCAGGTCACGTTAGTCAAGCTGACTCTCAGCTGATCCACGTCTACCAATAGGAATACGAAGCCTATCACTGTATATAAGCTCCTTGGTAATATCAGCAGCTATCGCACTCATTACCCTCCTCCATCCCCAGCTCCTCCTTTCATCAGTCAGGATTTGGCCTTCTGATTCCCCCTGAATCAGACCTATTCCCTAATTATGTTCTACATTAAAATTAATTGATATCTGCAATTCATTAATGTTGGTTCTGTTCTGTTTACCCTGAGTTTTTTTTGCTGCATGGATGCGCAGGGAGTTTTTGCCCAGAACAGAACCATACCACCAATCCAAACTGTATGCTAACTGTCAATCGTATTTGATGATAGTGGTCCTGACAGAACTAACATGATCTGTTTCGACATTGTGTAAGAAGGCAGGGGACCTCCCCCATCGCTCTGCTAAGAAGGTCATCCAAGGATTTTGGCATGGGCATGGGCAGTCTGGTGTAGCCACAGCGGCATCTTTGGCTCACCTTGACAGACATGTGTGACCCCCTGCCAGTTGCGGTGGGCAAAGTTAAATGTTTGTATGTTGTGTTGCCACATTCGCTGAGCGCAAGCTCTGTGCTGTTCAGAATGAAGGGCGAGAACGTTCCCGTGGTCCAAGCCACGAGCCAGTCTCTCTCCCAGTCTATGTCGAGTGACGCATCGCCACCGGCTGGCACGCAGTCCCGGCAACAACGGTCTCTGCTTCAACCCCTGTCACAAGGTGCTGGAGGGACACACAAGAGCATGCATGTTTTGTCTGCAGTTTAATGAGCTGCCATTGGATGGCTGAGCTCTTCAGCGAGTGGTTTCGACTATGGCGTATAGCCAAAAATGTGTTTATAAGCACCTGCACAAGCGTTTCAAGTAAGGATTTACATGCCTTTCTCTTTGTGTGCTTGAGCAAACCACATTCACTTTGCGGCTTGCTTAGTGTATAATGACAGGGCTCCAGCAGAAAGCTGCGTGCCCTTCTATTGTGCTTTCTATTGCAATATAAACTCATGACTGTATATAATAATCCGCTTCTCAGTGCTGGTTATATATTTGTTATATTTGTATATTGTTATATTTCTCAACTTGCTTGCCAAAGCTGTTTATGTAATAACCATACCAATTATATTATTGTTTTATTGGGCGGTGATAAAGGCGTGGGCGCCATCTTGGCCAGCTACCAACTGGCTGGTTGAGTGTTTCAACTAGGTCCCGTAGTTAATCTGGGAAAGGCGTGGCAGTTGCTTACTGCTCACACTCATCGTGGTCATTGGCTAAGTACATTCACTCCCATTCAACTCTTTCTATTAGATTTGAGCTAGAGTTTTAGTGCTTTTGCTTTTATACGGCTACGATTTTATAAGTTCCCCAACGCGTCAGACAATGTCGAGAGACCGACCACAAACTGAAAACTGATGAAAATTAGCACTTTTGAGCTAACTCGGGTACATTTACATTGCGTTAAAGTTGGTTAATGTACCACTGTCCCCTTTCAAATAAAGAGAAATGAAAACTAGGGAACGAGACATTGCGTAAGCTGGCGTGTAAAAACAAGTGTGCAAAAATGTCTTGATCGATGGCTGGATGCAGTGTAGCCAAGGCATTCTCATCCTTTAGCGTCATATGTGACGCTATATGACAAAACAGCGAAATACTACGCACACGGCACCCGTTATCGTTAATATAACACGCGCTGTGATGGGTAGGTTTAGGTGTGGGATAGGGTAGGGTAGTCTCATATTAACACTAAAGGATTTATGACGCCTTGGGTTCGTGTGTTATATTAACGATAAAGGGTGCCATGTGCGTAGTATTTCGCCGTTTTGTTATATAGCGTCACCTAGATGACGCTAAAGGATGAGAACGGACTGGTGTAGCTCATAACTATGAAGCTTAATGGGACGTGAGACTAACTAAACAATCAAACTACACTTCAAATAAACTTTTTTTCCAAAGATGACTCCTGTCATTTTATCAAGTAAGTTTGGTTTTAGTTAGTTATTTGATGTTATAAAAATGGGAGTGTGGCATCATGATTGATAGTAGTCACTGAGACCTTTTTTCTGGATTTTCGAGAGGAGATTGGAGCTTTAACATTTCCATTACTTTATTGGACACCAATACAATGAGTTGTTCAGCAGTAAACTGTACAAACCGATTCTGCAGGATTGTGTGGCGGGCGGGACCTTGATACCATGACGCTTGATACCTTGATATCGCGTCATCCTTCTTTTTTTACAGTGTATGGTAAGTCAAACAAGTATTGTTTTGTATGCTATCGCTCAGTCAAAAGATCCAAAGACACTAGCGCTCCTGGACCTATAGGCCGGGCAGGTCAAGCAGTGTGATTCAATCAGGCTTCAGCATTTCGGAGAATGGGAGTTCTCCCAACGTGTCGGCTTTACACGCAATGTTTCCTTCCCTCCTCTCAGGGAATCATGGTTACATGAGTAACCCGAGACTTCACTAACACATGGAAATTGATCCTGATGACTAAACTGAACAAGCAAATCCTTTCCAGCTAATGCATGATGTACCATTTACATAATTGCTTGGTACTTTTTTGTATGTTCATGACTTGACTTTGACGTTGCATGCTAGTAATTTAAGGTGCTCTTTATATAAGTGAAGTGATATCCGCATTTGCGCATGCCGCGATCACAGTATAGCTAATATCTGACAGGACAAGAACATTTTATGAGGTGAGAGACTTTTAATTTAAAAAAAAGTAGAGAAAATAATGTTGACATCATCTCAACTTACTGCAGATTCTGAATCAGGACAGAGGGTTTTCCTCAGAAACTTTACTTAAACTGCGTCTGACAGAAGACTCAACAGCGTTCACATGCTCGTCTTTCAAAATAAAAATTTAGATTTACGTTTTTTTTTTTGTTGTTTTTTCTTTTATCGACCCACCAGTTAAGAGACACTGGATTTATGGAAACTTTTCACATAATTTTATTATTTATATAAAAAAATTAAAAGTAAATATGCAGTAAATATTCCATCCAAGTATGTCCAAATTCCTTTATGGATTGTTCTAATTTTTTCTTGTATCATATTCTGTCTGCACTTTTTGGCCTGTACGTGTTTAGATAAGGGCAGGTGAAGCTTTAGACAGAGGCAGAGGTAATGTAATCTGGGTGTGGCATCCATCTTTCTCTCTCTCACACACACACACACACACACACATAGAGGTATCTTTGTCTCATCTAGCGACTGTCTCCAGTGGGGAGTGAGAAATCGGAGATGGCATGTGTGTGTGTGTGTGTGTGTGTGTGTGTTGGATGCTGGCAGTCCCACTGAGCCATCTGCTGTAGCAATGTGTCACTGTAATTAGGGCTGGATGGCTGTGTCAGATACGACTGCTCCTTTACAGTTTGTGTCTCCTGCAGCTGCAGACGCTACGATCTGAACAACGGATGACTGACGGCCACACACACACACACTTCAGGCCAGTGAGTTAAAGGATCTCATTGCAGGCAGAATTATTACTTCTATTGAGAATTATTACTTCTTATTGAATTATTATGAATTATCGCACCAATAGATGATAATGATTGACTCAGTGCTTCATTTACCCATTAGCACTGTCACATCGAAGGACACCCACAGATCACCTACGCTAGTCTGTCATTATACTCACCTTGTTGCACAAAAGGAGAAGTTTAGAAGAATGTCTTAGCCGCTCTTTTCCACGCAATGAAAGTGGATCGTGCTTCCAAGCTTTAAGAAGAACAAAAAGAGCCATATCATAACAGTAACAATATGGGTTTTTATATTAGATGAATCCGAAAAAGATAAACAAAATTAAATCTCTTGCTTATGTTTCACCAGTTAATCATTTAGATCTTAAATATAATTTAATCAAATGTCATCATCATCAGGTGCCATCTGGAACTAAAAATCAAAAAATATTCCATATTCCATAACAGATAGGGGCAGTATACCTCCAGAAAATGTGTTGTGCCGCTGCCGCACGCACTCACGTCTTCAAACAACACAAACGAGCGCTGTTTTGCTCTCTTTCTCCGCATATTATTCAAATCATTTGACACGATAGTAAAAGGTCGGAAGACCGCAGTTTCACGTGGAGCATTTGGAGATTTTTAGAGATCAGAGACTAAATGAACAACATCTCAACACTAAATGATGAAGACCGACTCATAGACGCCTGTCTCAAAAACAAGCTGTTGCATTTCGACGATATGGGAAAATAAAAGCCTGCAGGCTATTATTTTAAGTTTGCGGTATTCGTTTTGTTCATATTACACTTTTATTGTTAGTTTGAATTAATTTGACAGACAGCATTCGCTGATGTTGATCAACCTAGCGAAATTCAGAGCTGCCAGCTCTCACGAATTCACCGTGAGCAGTGATGTAGTGGTGCCTGGAGAAGTGGGTAGCCTATACTCTTAATTTATGCCCCCAATATTTTTTTAAGCGTCCAAGCAAAGGATGAACGCCCTGTGTTATAAACAGTTACGTGTAAGACTACTAGTCTTGCATTAGTATTCAATATGCAAGACGAATAGAGTATAATGAATACAATAGAACACATAGAATCAGTAGTATCCTTGCATATCAGGATCGCACATATGGTTTTCTAAATACCCAGGTGCCAGGTCCCATAAATTATATTGTTAGGGGGGTTCGGGGGCATGCACGAAATGAGAATTTTAAGGTGTTTTGATGGCCAAAAAAATTGACAACAGTAGCTTTAAAATCATGAAGTTGCCTATTTGATCAGATTCTTAAACATGAGAATCAGTTCCAGTTTCAGCGACTTTTCTTTCCTAAACTAATCAATGTTTTTTGGACTAATCTGTTAATTTAATAATTGGTTCAATTGCTCACTCAAAAAGACAGTCACTTGTCGCCACCCTCTGGCTTAATGATGCAAGTGGCGCAAACACAGACAAGCGGAGTTATACAAACAGTGAAAAGTCAAACACATTCGAAAAAACGTTATACAAATATATTTATACAATAACAATAGCAATATATTTAATAGGGTGATTGTGTTGTTAAATTGAGCTTATAATTTCCATTGTCTTTTATCAAACTGATTATTTCTGTCGGTCATTTAAAACGTCTATTGAAAAACAGCCGTAAATTTGAGCTACTTGCATCTTATCTCGCACTGTATGATCGTTAACTGAAGTGAAGCGTCGCGTTGGGATGCGCGCTCGGCTCGCGCCTCTGTGAACAGAAATAAGCCTACTGCATTCTTTGTTTGGTCTCACGAACATTTTAACATTGACGAGCAGGTGTTTGAGTGCTGAAGCAGATCAGATGAAAAGGTCAGTTATCGTCGCGAATCATTGCAGCAACAAATTAGAGTTAATACGGGTACGACTCTAACTGGGTGTTTTTTTTTTTTATTCACGAAATTGGATTAGCAACTAACGTTAAGATGCGCGTCAGAGGGGATTTAGAAGTGGGTATACGCAATGCCGACTGAAAAGGAAGTGGGTATACGCCGTATACCTGCGTATACCCTGCACTACACCACTGACCGTGAGACACATGCAATTAACACTTAGCAAGCAGGTTAGTTAAGCTCTCAGATTCTGTCAATTTTATTATGCAATTCAAACAATAAATACCGTTTTGGCGCTTGTACATGTTACACCACAGATCCCTAGCGCACGTGAACCGATCATCTCTACTAGCTAATGGAAAAAGAACCCGAACACTGTTGAAAGATACAGTATGCTACAACTTACCAAAATGTATTCCTCATGCATAATGTCAACCAATCATTTTTTGAACTCTTCCCTGAACTGAAATGTAGTAATGGGCTGTATTTCCACACGACTGACATCAGGTTCAAGTACACACACAAGCGGCGCGAGCGCGACTCACTCGTGTACTGCAGTTTGGCCGGTGGTAATGTTGCCCGGCCGCATACCGCCTCCCATGGCCGGAACTGGTATTACGACACCTGCCGGGCCGGGGCTAGTCATTTAACATGCTAATTTAGGTTTATATCTCGGCAGCACTATAACTTGTCAGTTTTTTAATTACATCATTGCACTTATTTCTTCTCATTCTTTTGATGCGTGTAGCTCATTTTTTTGGATATTTTTACCTCAATTATTACATATGGCACCTTTAAGAAATCATTATTATCATTTTGTTGATGTGTTTCTCATTACTATCATTTTGTTGTTGATGTGTTTCATTTTTATCATTTTTTTGTTTGTGTCTTGTGTGTCTGCTTCAATGCGATATACTATGAAAATTCAATTCCAGTTCAATTCAATTCCGAATGCTCTGTTTCAATAACTGTATAATAGGGAGATCAATTTCTGTATAGCTCAGTCTATCCCCTGGACTCAGGCCTTGCTCCTTCACAACCTGTCTTTTCAAAGAAAGATCTCTCAACCAAATTTAATCTTTAGGCTAAGACTATTAGGCTATACTGAGTGTTTTAATTATATTTTATTTAGAAATATTATAAGTGATTTCCTGATTATGGACGGATTATTTTCACTCTTCATTTATTATTTGATAAAATTTGACTTAATCATCTGACTGGATCTCTTCCATGCATCAACATATTTATATATAATGAAAATGGAAACAATATCATGGAGAGGAGCCTCACTGACCACAAACTTTTGAATGGTTGTTTTTTAACAGAATATGTAAATAATAATAATAATAATAATGTATTATATTGTTACATTTGCCAGGGACGAACTGAACTGAGATGATATGGGATATTTGAGATAGTATATTTATTTTGTAGACACCATACATAATATTTGCTACTTTTTTAACTGGTCTGTTAACAATAAAAGTGTTGTACATGCGTGGCAGAGATGGAGGAGGCCAATTTTGAGAAAATGAATCTAAAAGGAAATGAAACCGTGAGCTTTTATTTAAGCTTTTATTGAAGCATTCATTAGAGAAGGCCTATCTAGTTTCTTTCATCTTTCGGCAGTTGCTGATGTGGAAAATCAATAGTCATCCGTAATATATTATTATGAAGGGTCTTTAAATGAGCATGTGAAACAATCTCAAGAAAGGGGTAATAGGTATATTGGCGTAACGCAGGATTTAACTGAATTTTCAGATATACCAAATACAATTTTGTGCAAAAAGCATAGATGTATTTTTGAATCAGTTATTTTATGTATATTATAATTGGCCGGAACTTTGTGCAAGTGTAAGTGTATGTGTGTGTGTGCTGCCCTCTAGTGGTCGAATGAAACGTATTGATAAGATGACATGAGTGGTAAAAATAGGATCTAAATACTTAAATTAAATTATATAAAATTATATTTTAGTATGTCTCCAATGAACGCTATTTAACCAATATAATATGCAATGCACCGTATAACTACATTGTTGTAATTTTACATTGCAAGCTCAGTTGGGCGAATTCGTTATCATCTCGTATCAGATATGATTTGTTTCATGATTTTGTTTGGGGGGGGGGGGGGGATTTAATGTAAAAATGCAGAAAGTTTTTTGTGATTTTCGGTTTAGGGTTATGGTTAACGAGAGAGAATAGGTATGTATGTTACAGCATAAAAATCATTATGTCTGTGTGTGCGTGGCGTGGCGGTCCACTGTAGGCTGTGTCAAAGTAAATTTCTCGCTGAAGCTCATTATTAGCCACAGTGAAATATTATTTAATGATTTACTAAACAAGCGAGTTTTTACTTGTGATGATTGTCTGACATTTATCTCACTGTTCTTCGGAAAATGTGCACTGTAACGTTATTCTAATAAACTCTAATATAACCATGTTTGTTTACTCTTTCACTGACTCTGTCTTTTAATGGCTGCTTCCTTGTCGAAAAGCTATTTTCCTATAAGGAAGTAACGACTTGAGAGGTTACATAATGCACGTTTTTCTTACCATAACATTATCACGACAAAGCTAAAGCCAATTGCTAACGTTGAATGCCTTTGAAAGGGATTACCCAAAAGTGTAAATTCTGAATCTGTAATCATTCACCATAATGTCATATCAAACTTATTTGAGACTTACTTTCTTCTGTGAAACACAAAAGTATGGAAGCTTGTTTCCGTCACGGAATAAAATATTAAAGTTGACCTTTTCACAGACTGCGATGACGCATTTTAACGGTCGTCAGTGCCAAGTCAGCATCGTAAATTTGCTTACGAAATAAGTTACTTATAGCCTATTTTATAATTTTTTTTAATGTATGTTATAACACTATACTTTGTATTACCTTATCTTTGCATCATCATCAAATTGCAAAAAAAAAAAAAACTACGCTGCTGTGTTTCTTCTGGAAGTGATGGTAATAACATCAGTCGAACCCTTTTCTGTTCTGACTGCTGTTATAAAATTCTCTATTTCCCCTCTTTTTTTGAAAGTAGTGAACTCTATTGTGATGTTTTCTTTTGCTATTTAAGCAAATGGGAACACATTTAAAAAAAAATTGCCAAAAGTTTACCCAACTATGACTACTTTTCTGAAAAACTCATTGAGGATGAATTGTGACTTTTATTTTTCTAAAAATTACGAGTTTATTTCTCAGAATTCTGAGGAAAGAAAATCATAATTGTGAGATATAAACTAGCAATTGCTAAATGTTTATTTTTTATTCTGTGGCGGACACAAGCTTCCATACAAAAGAAGAGATTTTAATATGTTGCTTATAGGCTACATTTTTTTTGGGTGAACCATTTGTTTAAATACAATACTTTTCTGTCCAGAGTTAAGCAGAGTAGGTTTAGGCAGAGCAAGAGATAGCGGAGAGATAGTTAGTCATAAACAGAAGAGGTTAGAGGAAGAAGAAGGTTACAACCATTCCAATACTCGTACAAACATAAATCATATTCTCTGTTTATACAGGCACAGAAAGAAGCAAAAGTTTGCAGAGCATTGAAAATGGAAAGAAGTCTGCTGAATTAAGGACAAATCCAGAAGGAAAGACATGAAGACGCAGAGGACATAGGAAAGTACAGATGTCATGACATTTATTCAAGGCATGCTACAATTAAATTTGATTAGGAAAAAACGTCAGCAGGGTGGGTAATACGAATAATAATTCTAATAATGATTATGCATAATAATAAGCCATTCATAAACAGAAAAAATGCTTTCTACAAAAAATACAAATAAAATCTCCACTCAGTCATGCACTGCAAAAAATTAGAAAATATGTTTCTTTAATAGTTTATCTTCTATTTGCATTTATTACATCAAACTCATAAACTGGATACGCTCATGTCTCTCCCCAATTCCCACAAGTCACATAAACTGCTTTACAAATGAAAGCTGGTACTGGTATGATATCAAAAAACAGAAGACAAATTGTGTTTTCATGTTAATTTCCATAAATATAAAAACCAGTTCATATTGGTGTGTTTGTAATGTATCTTGTTCCCCAAAACCTTTTTTTTTTTTTGGCCAGGTAAAAAAAAAAAACCAAACAAACAAAAAAAAAAAAACATTAAAATAAAAATAATAAGGGAACACATATGTACAGCATTTGTTTCCTTTTGGTAGTGAAACATTCATAAAAACTATAAATTAGGTATTTCAAAGCATCCTGAGATCAACTCAGGCACTTCTGTATGTGCGCTGTGCTTGAGCGACACCTCAGTTAGCTAATTTAGTCTAGCCCCTCCCTTTATGCAAATTACACATGTCAATTAGCATATTCATAGCCCATAAATTTAGTCATGAGAAGAGAATAGAAAGCATTACGGCTGAAATTTGAAGTTTAGATTGTAAGGGTCAATTGCATTGTAATAAAGCAACAAAATATCTCAGTCTGAACAGTGCTGCATCAGTTCCAATTCAATCAAGTCCTTTGGTTTCAGTGGTTGGTTTATCGTCACGGTCTTGTACGTTTTTAGAGTAAAGCTTTTTAATGGAATTGATGACTAAATAAGACAAAAAGTGTAACCGCTTATCCAGATGGTGGCGACTAGCGTAAGGCTGTTCAAATGAATCCATAAGGGCCCGGTAACATTCACAATCGTAAATGAGTCTAGTTTGATGGGGGAAAGGATATGGCTTGACCTTTCTGAGGAAAACAATCCGAAAAAACAGACTGCGAGACGCGTGGAAAAACAGACTCGTAACATGACCGAGAGTGGAAAATACAAGAAGTTTGTCGGTTTCTGATATAACTTACAGCCAGGAAATGAGTTACAAATAAGCTAGATGAAAGGCACATAAACTTTGGTCCTGCATTATTTGTGACTTTTTTTTTCAGTAAAAAACCTGGAAAAAACCATACACGTGTGTGTTAACTGTTCGAGTCAGCGCGGATATCAACGAGGAAATGTCTTACAACACAGCGGAACGTTGTTGCCTGAGTCAAGACGTGGTTGGAAACATGTTTCGCTTCGAAAAACTAAAATGAATGACTTCTGCGACTGCGACACGTTTATGGAGTCTGGCTTTTCTCCTGTTGATACATAAAAAGCATTGTAGCCGGGAGCAGATCGGCGCTCTGCATATATCTCACCTCCCGACGGACGCCATCGCACACGTCGGTGGACGTTACGGACCCGGAACTGCTGTTGTGAAGAGGCAGAGTGACAGACAACAATCTTGAACCAGTTTTCACGCTCTTAATATAGAAAATCAACAAACCCCCAAAAAAGAACAAAAAGTATCACAACAGAGCAAGAACGAAACAGGCCAAAACCCCTAAACTGAATCAATTATAAGGTACAGTAAATAAGATACTCCAAAACACACACACACACACACAGGTGGAGGTCTCAGACATCAGCATCACTCCATAGCAAAACAGAAGGCAGACCTGAACACTCAGAGCCTATGCTGTGGGCTTCTGGGTCTCCACGAGGATAATTTAGATGGGGTGCACAGAACTTCTTTTGGTCTGGTTCTCAAGGGAGAACCTAGAGATGCTGCTTGGTACTCATACTTTACGCTTATCCTACAAGCTGTCGTCATCACTTTCCTCCTGCTCTCCTCACTATAACACTATTTGTTCACTGTAGAAGTTAAATACAGTTTCAAGCTGTATTTTTTATTTTATTGACATTAATGACGCAATAGGAGTATTATGCTGCAGTCACTTTAAGACCGAATGCACGGATCGAACATACGAATCCCGATTTAGGCCTCTTCTTTCACATTTAAAATCATTGGCAAGACAAAACACGATGATAAACTTTCAGCCTACGATGATTAAACTAAACTTACCAGAGATGGAGAAAAATCCTACTCCAGTAAGTAAACGTGTCCTTGTCCCTCAAAATTTTGGTACTAAAAAGCGTTTCGCTCCACGTTTTTTGCTGTGCATCGTGTATTTTTTACCACGCATGCACACCAGTTATGTGCACCCATGATCATAATCATATTAGAAGATGTGATTAATACATGTTCATTTCTGAGTGGACCTTACCATGAAAAACTCGGCAACATCACATTATGGTTTTTTGGAGGTTGCTATGTGGTTGCAAAGATGTTCGGAGTTGTTTTAATGCGTTGCTGTGATGTCCAGATGGTCCCTAGTTGGTTACTAACTGGCCCAAAGTAAAAAGAACCCAACTGCAAGTCTCTAGACACGGCTTCGGCGAATCCTTCAATGTACGTCTATGGGATTTTTTTCCCGCACGTTTTATTGTTCGCCAGACGAAATTTGCGTGTGACCACTTAGAAATGAAAAAAACTTCACAGATGTGCTCATAATGGCTCAGTTAAATTCATACTTTTTAATCAGAACTATAAGCAAGTTTACAGCAACCTCAGTCTCTGATCTTGAAATATTTACGTCAAAGATGGAGGAACTTTGTTTTTGGCCTAGAAAGGCTGTACGTAACAATGGTACGCGTGTCTGGCACACATGTGTACACACACACATCTGCGAGGGAGAATAGAGACCCACAGCATGCTCTGAACATTGTTGGGTTCACCGTTCATTTGTCTAATAAGAGCATTCACAGCACCATACATCATAACTTACATCTCATATCATATTAAGACCACATGGTACTGAGTCCCCACAAAATGCACATCTATAAGAGCTACACAACAAAAAGATAATAAAAGAAAAATCAAGATCAAAATAAATCAACCCTCTCACCAATCCCACAAAATAGTACATAAGATATTTCAGTTAAAATGTCTAAAACCTATTTGATTATGAACACATAATAAGGCACGTAATAAGAAATTAGGTAAATACACAGTAAATATGATTTTTTTTTCACCATGATTTCTTGAATGATTATAGTGGTACAAAAACCCGATGAGGTTTCAAATTTGATTTTTTTTTAATCTTCCATAAAAAAGAACAAATTAGCAAAAATAAGTAACTTTTTTTTTTCTCAAAAAATCTTGACAATCCTTAAGATATATAGACCTGAATAGTTTGCTTTAAGACTGTAAACTTCAACAAAATTAAATTTCTTTTGAGAAGTGAAAGCGAAATTTCAGATCGCTTCAGGTGAAATCAGTCAAAGACAAAAAAAAAAAAAATTGTCACTGTCCCTTGCCTTGCATGAACATGAAGATTGTTAAATTGTTGGATGTGATTTCAAACGGGCTTTGACAGAGGATATAGTGCTCAGGCACAGGAGCTGCTCCCTTTAGATGCTACTCAACGGGTCTATGGTGACCCTCCTTGGAATGTTAAGGCCAGATTTCGCTAAATGAGACAGCACCTCGTTCGTACGCACAAGGGAGACATCATATATCCTAGAGAGTCTCAATGCAGCCGCACAAATACTAACTAAACGCGTACATACAGAATCAGCTTCTGTATGTGCTCACCATCGCCATGTTCCAAAACCTAGTAAGCTGCCTACTTAGACAACGTTTTAAGGCATCACAGGCACGATCCCGACACAAAGGCTGTTTCAGCCTTCAAAGATATCTACTTTTGGCCAAACTCTATGGCAGAATTACATGTACCGGTATCCTTTGTAGATAAGGCAATCTCAGAATGCACTGTGATAAGCTCATTAAAATTCAAGATGGAGGGCGAGTCGATTGTAAATATACTTTGAATTCCTAAAATACTGAAATATCTATAAAATTGTTTAGTTAAAAATGTATTATTTTAACTAGTTTGATGATAGAATCAAGCTTTAAAATCTTTTATATGATCAGAGTTTGATATTAGCATGTTGCTAAGCTAATGTTAGTATGTGCTGTAAAATTTAACATTTATTACAGGACGTCTACACAGTTCCCGCATTATTCCGCAACATCTTGAGGCTTTCTACAACGGATGTCAAAGTGAAAGTTTATCCTGTTGTCAGAAGTAGCGCAAGCACTTTCTAAGGAGTGCCTTAGAAATCGAACAGTAATCTGTTTACTGTCCTTGTTTCGTCACAATGCATCCAGCATAGACAGTATAACTGATTATAATGGGTTCCCTTTGTGTCCAGTGTAGACACAGTGTTATTAGCTTAGCAACATGCTAACCTCAAACTATCACTGTAATGAACTTAAAGAATACATAGCACATGCTCAACGTTTGTAGATAAGGCAATCTACCTAAATATAACACCATTCACATGTGATATGTATTTCTACTATTGAAGTTAACATGCAAACATCTAACTCCACTAAAATCAATCAAATCAGAATGCCTCCTGGAGGAAATGCTAGTTTTGGAGTGAGTATTTGTATGATATCAGAGTCTTGTATTATCGGCTTACAAGATTCACATTGACAGTTTCTTTCCGATGGTACGGACTCAGATTTTATCTTCACCTATAGAAGAAAACCTCTGATCTGAACTCTATTAGAGTCAAGTTTGCTGTGGACTTCTGTACTATTAGTCAATTCTAGAGCATTCCAGATCAGTCACTTATGGGCTTTCATGGAGATTAAGCCTTAGAAGGCAGCTGCCTATGCAGCATCTCACTAGGTTTTAGGAACTTGGTGGAACTTTCCGACTTACTCAAATCCGTTTATATTTGGTTTGCTCGGATGCAGAGGCATCTAGTGTGGGACTGCAAGGCAAAAGAGAGTGCCGCCCTCTTTTTTTCTATGACTCAATGGTCTTCACTATGGTTTTTACAGAGCCCATGGCTGCGCACTCTCACACCTGTGGACAGAGCCGAGGAGTAAAAGAGCAGAGGATAGAAACTTCTGCCCCTGCGTGGAAAGATAGAAAACAAGTAGAACGAAAGGAGAAGACTCAACTAAGAGCAAGAAGGGGAACAGAATGGAGGAAATTGTCAATTTCCCAATCGAGATCACGGGCTATACCATTCACATTGAGAATTTCACTTAGGAGGAGGCGGAGCCTCCTGTCAGGCTGGGCGTTGCTGATTGGAGCGTTCCAGTAGGGTTGACAGCTGGCCATAAGTGTTCAGGAATGATCGTGCATGTTTGAAAACGGTCGCCTTGTTTCAGAGGAACCCGATCGACTGGACAATGAAATTGTGCGCCATTGCACGCAGATGTTCTCTGACAGCTTTGCAGGTGCAGAGAGCCCACAAAAGGCTGGTCTGTCCAATATAAAATTTCCATAATACAAGAAAAAAACAAAACAAATCACGCCATTCACTATCTATTCACAGATGCCTACCATCTGGCTATACATCTTTGCACAGTAAACAGATATGAGGATGCCTAACATTCCCCAAGGTGCCTGTCTTCAATTCAAACCAATCAAAGTGCAGAGAAACAAAAAGGTTTGTAAGCCGAAACAGCTGCGAATTGAATTTAAAATGCACCCATTTTTGAATCCATGGCAGTCTTGTTTTAATGCTACTCAGAAGAAAAGCACAAGCCTATTGGTTGAGGCCATCGCTACAGATTTTTTTTTTTCCAGCAGCACCTTGATGACGATGTCAGCGACATTCAAACGGTGACCGTGCGTCCAAAACATCCCACGGGAAATGGGGCTCTCCGTCGAAACAGCCAATGAGAATGAAGGTGTGGGTTTTGGGGGAGTAGCAGAGGAGACTCCGCCCTCACTGGGTCTGGGGTAACAAGGCCATTGGGCTACAGGAGTGTCAGTCTCCAATGTAATCGGCAAGTGTGCGTAAAGAAACTTCCTCAGCATTGACTATTGTTGAGAATGTTCATCTCGTGTTAGTTTGCATTTCACATCAACGAAGTCCTCACCAATTGACTCTAGAGGGAATCTTACTTCCTCGACACAGAAGTTCCCAGAAACGTCACATTGTCATGGATATCCCATGTGTCTCCAGCCCTGGAATCGAGAGTAACTCACTCTCAAACTGTCTAAAGGTTCAGCAGTAGTCTCTTATTTGCTTTTTTTTTTTTCTTTCTTTTTTTTGGGAAAATCTCTAAAACTACCCCATGAATATCTGTAATGTTTTTTTTTTTTTTTTGAGTTTGTCAGTCAGTCTTATTCTCTGAATGAAACAGTCAGACTGCTGAGGGTAGAAGGGCTGGAATGGGGAGGATGGGGAAAGGGTGTGTTTGTAGTGAAGGGAGTGCTAGATGGTGGATTTGGAGAAGGACACTCGCAAATGGTGGTTCTCTCCCAGGTCGTGGTTGTGGAGGACGATAAGAGCCTGAATGGCTTCTTCCACCGAACCCAACTGGATCAGCGCCATCTTGCGGTCCTTCCTGTCAATCAGATATGGAGAGTCAGAATTAGATACTGGCCACATCGCAAGCCCTGCAGGGCGTCAACATTTTCACAGGTTTGCGTTTTTGAAGTTTTTGTGGAGGTGATAACTTTTTTCTCAATTTTTCAAGGCTTGCACCTGGGCACCTATTTAAAGGTTTGTGTTATCGAGCCACAAAACACTGTTGTGCAAATGAGCGTGCCGGAGCGCATTAAGGGTTTTCTGTTAGAACAGTGTCGTGTTAGCGCCCCCTAAGTTAATAACTAATGATCTTTGTAATGGAAGTTAATCAATCAAAACTAACTTTATCTGGACAATATCTTTATTGAAGATATCTGCTGTAAAGCCAAAACAATCTCTGCTACTTTAATTTCCTATTATCACTGAAAAAATACTTTGACACAATCTATATTGTTAAAAGCGCCATATAAATGAAGGTGACTTGACTTAAAAATGTTATGTGGTTTAACTATAAAGTATTTCATGAACTTCAGTCAAAGCTCCTAGAGGGCCACCCTCTTCCATATATCTACCTCTAAACCTAAGTTATCCCAATAACTGGTGTAGAAGCACTGTAAACTTGTCCCTTAAATCTGAATGGTTGATTGTAATGTTGTTCCTGGAACATGTTGTACTCGGTGAAATCAGGGTCTGCCTCTTTCCAGCAGATGGTATGGATATTGTTTCTCAAATACGAGTTTCGTATTTTCCCAAAACAACTCATCCTTATCGGCCGTGTTGTCTTGGAAGTAAGATACAAGCAGACTATTCCCAGTGTGATGATAAATCTGAGAACAAAGAAAACAAATGTGAAGAGAACTCACTGGAAAAACTTGAAGGCCTTGACCGTGTATCCAGAACTGACAAACAGGTCTTTCAGAAAATCATCCGTGGTGGAGGGACTGGGGCGTGGAAGGAAAGGAACAAAAATATTATGTTTACAAAGGACAAAACCAGCACCTTATCTGATGCCAACAACAATTCCAAGAATAATGGAAGACTTCTTGTGGAGTGAAACAACCGATATATGATATAATATAATATGGGTGGGGAGATACTGATAATAATAATCATATATCATAGTATGAGTCATTTTACATCGCTCTAATAATATGCATTACAATATTGTTTCTTTTCTGGAAATTCAACATCTACAATTTAATACTATATAATATATATATTTTTATATAACTATGTCATTGTCTATTTTGAAGTGACAACTGTAGTATAGTTTAATTAATATAGTTTAATTTAATAGAATTAAATAATACAAATAATGATTCTTCCTAAGTTTTAAATCAAGTTATAAACATAATAAAAAATGAGAAATTTCTCCCAAAATTTCTCCAAAAATTAAATGCTTAAGTTAGTCCAGCAAAATTGGGTCTTCGTTGACCAAACCATGCATTTATTGTAACATGCTGTATTTGTTGCCCCATGTGTGCATGTTAGCCAGTCACTCACGGGATATTTGAGAGGTGCAGGGTGGCGGAGGGGGGGAAGATGTTCTGGAAGTTCTTGGAGCCGGGCTTTTTGAAGCGGTGCAACGGGCTCCCACTGAAGTCTTTGGTCAGGCCCTGGTCCTCCTGACCCTCCCTGGGGAGCTGCACCGTCTGGTGCTTTGAGATGGTCACACGGATCACCTTACCATACAGACGCTGACCGTTCAGGTGGCTCATCGCTTAACAAACAAACCATGAGATGATGTGTTAAAGATAAGCTGACTCACATTTAACCCTGACTCACATCATGCTGAACATTTGAACTGTAAAAACTCAAGCATAAGATTGATTTTTTGCAGGTTTTCAACAAACACATTTTGTGCACATACACACTGCCTCTAAATATGTCTATCACTCGTTTTTAGAGTGCTTAATCCCATTTTGTACACACATTTTGCCTCAATCGTGAAACACAAGCAGAGCAAATTTCTGTGAAAATCAATATTATTCAAAAATATCCGTACATTTCTGTTTTAATAGTTCGCAGAACCCTTTTACGGATTTAATACGCATTAAATGTGAATAAATTCATTCTTACGTAAATTTCTGTGTAAATCAATATCAAACCAATTCATTCACTTACATAAATTTGTGTAAATCATGCATAAAACCATTCTTACATACATTTCTTTGTAAATCATGCACAAAAATTTAAATTTAAAAACTAAATTTACCTTATTATACATGAGTAAACCCTATGCAAAAAGATTCTCACATAAAATACTGTATTAAATGTGGATAAAATCATTCTCAGGTTACTTTCCGTGTAAATCGTGCATAAAACCATTCTTATGTAAATTTCTGTGTAAATAGTTCGCAAAAAAAAAACCTTTTATGTAAATTTGTGTAAAATGTTCGCAAAATGATTCTCACATAAATTACTGAATTAAATGTGGATTAAATCATTCATGCGTAAATTTCTGTGTAAATCTATTCTTGCATACATTTATATATAGATCAATATCAAAACTATTCTTAAATTTATGTGTAAATTGTTTGCAAAACCATTCTTACATACATTTCTTTGTAAATCATGCACAAAACATTTTACCTTAATATACATTCATGTAAATAGTTGACAAAATCCAAATGCAAATTATAAACAAAGAATTGTATAGAAAAATGTATGCGAGAATGTATTCTTGAATGATTCATACAAATTAATACTGCTCATGCTTCACAAACGAATTACTCAATTCACTGAAAAAACCTAAAAATTAAATCCATGTTTTTTGTTAACAGATGAGGCAGATACATCAAAGCATTCGCTCCTGCATTTAAACATGTGTGTTAAATATGTAATAAATATATAAACAACAAAAACCTTGGCAGTGTGTACACGTCGCTTCTTTTATACTCTATAATAAAATCCTGCAAATATTGCATCAGAATATTTCTGCGCATCTACACAAGGAATTATTATGAGACATTTCGCCGAAAAACATAATCTTTTTATGTTACTGGCTTAATCCACCAAAGATACATACAACCACACTGAAATGTAACTCTAATACAGCCACAGAATACAGAGATACATGTGATCAAAGGATGAAAGGGTTTGTGTGTAATGCCTGACGTACCGAGCTGGGCTTGCGTGGCGTCCGCCATCTGTATTAAGGCATTCTCTTTCTTGTTGAACAGAATCTTGACTCTGTGAACGTCTCCGTAGACTCCTGTCGGGATAAAAGAGAAATTTACATCTTTTTTTTTTGGTACTCAAACACACCGTGAACACAATTTACAACAAATAATACGTTATCTGCAGATCTCGGTGTTTCATTATTGAAGGCAGAGAGCGACAGTAACCGCTCACATGCTCATAGAGTGAGCGGTTTTAAAGGATATCAGTCACACTAAGGTCCGTCTCTGATGTTGACAGTTATTAAATTGCGGGGACAATAGCAAATGACACACACTGAGTGTGTGCGCAACACTGAGAATTTCTCCCATTCATATCATGGGACACACAACACACAATCTGCAAATAATCTCCAGACTGTGTGTTTGTAAGGAAATGGTCTCATCGCTCACTCTCTATCCTCTACTGCCTTCATAAAAACCGCAGTCTGCACATCTAATCTGCAGGAGAAGTAATACATTCGTCCTTACCGAATAAAATGAAGAGTTCGTGTGGCGATATACTCTGCAAGAGATGAAACATTATCAAAGACATGACTGGAATAAGGTTGAATGAGTAAGTGTGAAATGCATCAAGGACCATTAACAGATGTGGCGATTTGCTATGAAACATGTTGACAGTGATGCACTTCGACATTCATGACCAGTGACCGCTAATGCTGCACAATTAAATGAAGGAAGTGTCTTGTGACATCAAATGCCTGGACTGAATAAAGAAGCATGGGAATACCTTTGGATTAGCTAAAAGGAATCATTTTTAAAGGCAGCAGTGATGGTGCTTTATGCATTAGTGTCTGGATAGTCTTCTTGTAATACTATAATCTATGGTAATGGATCATATTAGTGATAGATTAGACTAATATATGTTTCGGGCATCCTTAAATAGTGCTTATTCCCGACTCCTGCTTGGTTCCAACTGGACAACAGACATACATACTGACAACCACCATTTTACCGTTTCTACAGTTTAAAGTGCATCAAAACCACAGAGCTGTTCACACCACAAGCACTCAGGGTCATTTACGGTAATGATCTTTCTGCGCTTAATTCTCTAATGTTTTTATCTAGAGCCAAACACGCTTCATTCGAGCTCTTTCTGCTCTGTGCGTTTTCTCGCTCCTGCTAAAGCTGCTAAAGCACTGAATTAAAGGGATAGTTCACCAAAAAATTTAAGTGATCCCATAGTTTACTCGCCCTCAAGCCATCCTAGGTGTATATGACTTTATTCTTTCAGCCAAACACAATCAGTTATATTAAATGATCCAAGCTTTATAATGGGATTGAATGGTTACTTCGATTTTGAAGCCCAGATAAGCACATCCATCATCATAAAAGTAATCCATACTGCTTCAGGGGGTTAATAAAGGCCATCTAATGCATTTTTATAAGAAAAATATCCATATTTATAACTCAAACTATAATCAGTGGCTTCCGGTAGAGGTCGTGCGCGAGTTTAGTTCCAGCGAAGGAGTGACCTCGCTTCAGAAGGCCTTTATTAACCCCCTTTTAAGATGGATGGATGTGCCTTTTGGGCTTCAAAATCAAAAGAGCCAGAATATTTGTTTTTAAAAATAAGTGAAAAAAGAAAGTCATATGGCTTGAGGGTGAGTAAATCATGTGAACAGTTTGATTTTTGGGTGAACTAACTCTTGAAGAGCTGCAGATGACGCGGTTATTTTAACAAAAGTAGCAGAAACACAGTGAGAAGCAAAATAGCCGAAGAAAACACTGCGTGAAACGAGAATGCGGCAAATATAGTTCTTTTTATCAGTCATAATCTGACCGTTCAAACCAGATTTGTGATTATTAACAGATTTAACATTATTAATCAGCATGAATAGAGCATTTCATAATAAACAATTATATAATTGGGAAAATTATTTGTAGATGGCAAGGAGAGACATGGTGAAAATACTATTAAGCAGAGATGCACAGGTCTCACAGAGCAGAATGACGTTTATTTTTTCATGCCGTTTACAGGAAATTAAGGATGTCACAATAATAGAACAACTCGACGATGACGATTGTGAAAATCCACTGGAAAAAGGGCAAAAGCTTTTTGAAGGGCACTTAAAATTGTACATTCGGAACCACTTTATATTAATTGTTTTGAACTACGATGTACTAAATGTTGTGTGTGGGCATAATGTAGTTTATTTTGAAGCATTTCCTAAAGACATTCTTAATTTAATGGCAAATCCACTGTATATTTGTGGTAGAAGGGTTCACGAAGGTGGTGTTGAGGGTGGGGGGGGGGGGGGGGTGAAACTCACGTCAGGGTTGAGGTTGGAGACGAGGAGCACGGAGTGGATGGTGGTGGGGGTCATGCCGTGGATGGTCATCCGTCCTGTCATTGCTGATGAAGGGATGGTGAGAGGTCCCAGAGCGCCAGGCATCGCCTGCATAGACAGACCTGACCGGACCGGTGGGGAGAGGGAAGACGGGAGACGGGAAGTGACGTAAGAGAGTGGAAGGGAACTTCTAGAACAATCATCCGTTTTTACAACCTTTTTTCTTCAGATAAACAACACAAGGTCTTCTTGTAATTGCTTATTAAATCAACATGTTCAGGCATGCTGGGTAATTTTAGTTCAAATTAATATTGAGTTGGATGGTCAGGGTAGTAAGAGGTTTAAGACAGAAGGAGTTAAAGACAATAAAATTGCCGGTACATTTGTACACTGATTTACTTTTATAATATTACATTATTTGTTATATTATTATTAAATGTTGAGGTCTTGATCATGTCAGCAGAAATAAGAAAGTAAATTTGTTAAATAATTCCCCACGGTTTAAACAATTTTAGGTCAGTAAGATTGTTTGTTTCCAACTGATCATTAAATTTATCAAAAGACAGTAAACACATTTATAATGTATCTATATGTATTTCATATTATATTTCTATATCCTCATATCAGAATAATTTCAGAATATTAAACAGTAGTGTATATATTATGTTAGATATAAACATTTAACATCTTTCTCTTTATATTTGAGATGCCCTAAATAAAGTAATACTCTAACTTTTAGCTATTAAATAGTATTTTATTTTCCCAATGATGAACTTTACTTTGAAATTTACACTTAGATTCGATTTATTGATCATATAAATCAAAACCGGTTGCAAAAGAATCAATAGCCAATTGAAAATGCAAAGCTTTTTAACTGCACACAATCTGTTTTCAAATGTGACGTCGATACTCGATACGGTGTTTGTGTTCATTCCCTCTTCAGTTTGCTCACTTTGCTGGCGTCAATCTAAAGATGTGCCTTGCGAGAGACTCGAGTGATGACATCGTAATACCTCCAATTATTCAGTCTGAGCGCTGGCGTGAGCCGCACGACACCGCCTCCATTACTGAGATGTGTGTGTGTGTGTGTGTGACTGTGACTGAAAGCTTACCTGCCTGAGGAAAACCGATAGCGGGGGCGAAACCAGCCGCCCCGGGGTATGGAGAGGAAATGATCCCAGGAGCCCCTGCACACACACACACACACCAACAATGAACAAATGATTTAAAAGATGAGACCACAACCACATAACAGGATACTGGTGTATGTGTATCTGCCTGACACAATGATGGGATAATATGTATTTATGATTCATAAAATGACTTGAGACACCTATACTTGAGGCAAAGATTTGAATTTCTTTGGGAGCATAAAATAATACTGTACATGTCATTATTACATCTGTTTTAATGTCATAGACATCATAAAAGCCTCATTACAAAGATGAAATTCATGGAAAATAAATGTTATCACGTAGTTTGGCACAATCTTGTAATATTATGTCATGGAAAAACAAGAAAAAAAACTCGTTTTTAATATTAATAATATTTGCGGAATGCCAAATCATATGGTGTGACCAACAGATTCATATAAGAAAATGTTTTATTTATGTTGTATATTTTTTTTAAATTAGCCATTTATGACATGGCAAGGTTATTGCAGAACTCCCCAAAATGCACTTTATGAATTAATATAAATGTATCCATAAAAAAATACTTTTTACCTTAAATACTGGTACTGTTATGAATACTAATAAGAACTATACTGTATGTATTTGCCAGGAAAATTATTTATTATAATTATTATTCTTATAATAATTATTCTTATAACTAGAATTATAATTGATTTGAATTTGATGGTTACACCACATTACATTTTAATCATTTAATGAGCCATTAAATGTAAATGGCACACCAGTTTCTCAAACCTTACAAAACCAACATGAACACAAATAGCGCATTAATAATAACATGGCACATGTGTTTTAAACTAAATTTTTCCTGCAGACACTCTAATTTGTCATTGACTCACTTAATAAATTTGCTGTATAAAATAACCTAACATAAAATCACTAACCCAGCATGAGCCTGAAATAAATTATGAGAAGCACAATCAATAAAAGAGGGGCACATACATTTGTTTTGTTCTCCCTATATCATCACTGTTTTATTATCACCGACTGATTTCAAGCTGAATATGGCTTGCTGAGACACGTACGTTCAAGTAAAGCACAATTTGCTCATCTTGAATTCCCAAGTGGGATGGGCTTAAGGGTCACGCCATTGTTTAAAATGGATTTATCCAGCCTATTTGAGATATAAACCTATAGAGCTCAGAACAAGCAGTTTGCATACATTTCAAAACAATCATATTGACAACAATAAAACATTTTTCACGAGGGGAGTTGCGGTAGAAGACCGACAAAAGGGCATTGGTCTAATAAAAGCTGCCATTTGAACACCTTTTATTGCTGTGGCGGGTTTGTGAAGACGTCACAGAGCGCCCCTGAGATTCCTGCCTGCGCCCAGAAACAATTCATCAGCTCTGATTTACACACACACACACACACTCGCCTTATCAGAATCCACACTGCCTCTTGCTCTAAACAGCACAAGTGATTTACAGAGCCTGAGACAACAAGATGCGTGGATGGACAGACACAGTTATCTGCCACCCCCTCTGACAATCTCACACACACACACACACACACAATAAATCTGCTCTGCAAACACTGTCCGGCCCACATAACTTTGTGTGCATGTGCGATAAGGCGTGCCCTTTGATAGTGAGCGCGCTACGAACAGATAGCATTATAATAAAACACACAGGTAATGAGGAAGTGAGAAAAATATCTGTTTTACACTGGGATTTCTAAGTTTAATAGATAAAAGGACAGGTTTGATTAAAAAACAAAACAAAATGTCAGTATACACACGGATGAAAATGAAGGGAATATTCCGGGGTAAAATATCAACAAAGCGTAAGGCAGATAAAGCATAAAGTCATCATGAAATAAAAATTGAAAATGACTAGTTTAATAAGGAGAACTGCAGTAATTGTTATCTGTGCACATAATTCATGTGCCCTCCTAATCTTTAATCAAAATAACTTATCATTTCTTCTCTGATGATGTGTTTACTGGCGAGAGGGCGGGGCAACCTGTCACTCACATCAGATCCACCAATAGCACACCACATCTACCAATCAATTCATCATGCACAAAATCAAGCCCTGCCCTACATTTGTTCTTGTTCCAGAAGCCGTTTCACTCAGATAAATGTGACAATTGCCAACTTTAAGGTGTTTTTTACCCAGAATATTCCAGCCGAAATGATGTGGTGAAAAATCTGAAATCAAAGTGGATATTTTACAATTAAATAGTGCAAATTGTCTCCATGCCATACATCAAAATGTACATTTAATCTTAACCCCGCAAGTCTATATACTACTTATTATACATCAACATCTATGAAAAATACTTTTGATATCCTTTAGCTTGTGATAAGAACTTCCTCGGAGCTAGAGGAAAAGCACAGACAGAGGCAGATGGTGTGTGTGTGTGTGTGAGAACAAGTCGTCTCTTCTCACTAATGTGCAAAATTCACTAAACTTAAGTCCAATTTAAATGGAACTTTTGACAAATATAATTTTCATCGGAATTATTAAAAATCTCTCCAAATGTCTTCAAAGCACGTTTTGTCTATGATCACGTGGCCTTGTTCAAGTGGTTTTTGGTATAATGTGGGATATTGTTCTGCTGATGAAACACTACAAAAATTCCGATCCGAGATATTTCAGTAGACAAAAAAACTCCAGAAAATATGAATATTTGAAATTATGAGTGATCTAGGAGCCATTACAGATACATTAAGCTGCTCTAAATAAGTCTATACAGAGAAATGTCTTTTATGACTAAGTGTATATGACTTACCAAAAGCGGTCTGCATGGAGGGGTCCATGGTAGGCTGGCCGTCCCCTGAGGGAAGGTCCAGACGGGTGAAGTCCCTGCTCTTGTCGTTGTTGTATTTCACATTCAGACTGGTCAGCTTGGAGAACTCGACACGCAGAGTGCAGCAGCCGTTGTAGATGTTCTGCCCATCCAAAGACTGACAGGGGAAACAACATTACAATGCCATTCTCTTACAAAGACACAAAGAATTACTGTATATTCCTCTTAAATAAAAGGAAGACTATTTTAGGGCAATTCAGTGCACTTTTTCCATTTTTAGAAAATATGAATGCAAAAATAGATCTCTTTCTCGTTATAGTACTGATATATGATCAAACTTAGGGCTCACACCTTTGAAACATGAGACATTGGGGACAATTTGAGTCAGTTTCTGTTTTGATGGCCACCACAGGTAGAAAACTTAAAGGGATACTCCACTTTTTTTGGAAATAGGCTCATTTTACCACTCCCCCAGAGTTAAACCGTTGGGTTTTACAGTACCGTTTCCAAATCCATTCAGCCGATTTTCTGATATTTAGAAGAATATCATTAAACAGACAGTTTCTGGTCTCATTGACTTCCATAGTAGGAAAAAAAATATACTATGGAAGTCAATGAGACCAGAAACTGTCTGGTTTACTGATATTCTTCTAAATATCAGAAAATCGTCTGAATGGATTCGGCAATGGTAAAACCCAACTGTTTAACTCTGAGGGAGTGGTAAAGTGGAGTATCCCTTTAAAGTCTATATAAGTCTCCATTTTAGAACTATCAATACTACTCATGAATCATTTATTATTCTTAGTTCGTGTTAATTTCAGCATTCACTAACAATAAATTATTACAAATCAAAAGTTAATGGACTTGAAGCTAACATGACCTAACAACGAACAGTTTGATTTTTACTAACAAAGATGAATAAATACTGTAGCAAATGGATTGCTTATAACATGAACTATGGGAACTTACAGTGAATTGTTTCCTAATAATTTTAAGTAAAACTTGGCTGTATACTGAAGGTACTAATTTGCTTTCTCCTACTTTTATTTTATTTCCTGTGGAACGCTGTTCATGTGTAATTTACATTATATGATGCATCCATTATTGTATAAATTTCTATACTTAGAATTAACCGTGTTTCATTTCTATTTAATGCTTAGACTTTTTTTATTAATAAGACAGACAGAATCCATATACATACAGTGTTGGGAAAGTTACTCTAAAAAAGTAATTAATTACTGATTACTAATTACCTCTTCAACAGTGTAATTAGATTACTGTACTAATTACTCTCTCTAAGATGTATTTAATTACTTTTAATTACTAATTACTTTCAAAATCCCATATCAATCTCAACCAGCTGAATCATACAAGGATAGACATGAATCTGTTTTAATTCTTTCAAATAAATACTATAAAATTGTATGAATTATCCTTAATCTGACCAAGGTGGAGAAGGTTACATTATAAAACCATACTTTTTAGCATCAGACAATACATTTTGATGTTAAACCCACTGTTTTATGTCTGATCTCATGACATTTCACACTTTTTTCATACATATTTTACAATAATTCATACGAATTTTTACGAGTGCGGTCGTAATATTTAGACACCTCATAAAATGCATACGAATCGCTGTGAGATCGGATTGATCTATACACAGTATTTACCTCAATCAGAAGTAACTGTAATTAAATTACAGATAAATTAAGAGTAATCCCTTACTTTACATTTTCAAGGGAAAAGTAATTAAATTACAGTAACTAATTACTAAGTAATTAGTAATTACTAAGTAATTACTAGTAATTAGTTACACCCAACACTGTATACATATTAAGGGTTATAAGTACATATACACAAAAAATTAATTTAGACATATTTATATACAATTTATAAATGTTTTATCCTTTTGCTGTTAGATTAATGCAGTCACACAGGTAACAGAAGCTTGTTTGTCTTTCCGATCACAGGACACTGAACTATTCCGGCACATTCTCATTGATTACACCTGCTCTGCTTCATTACATCAGGGTTTAATGGAGCCCAAACATCTCAGCTCAGTTTTTCTATCTGTTAATCAATATCTTAAAGTAAGCGACAGACAAACTACTAAAACAGATATGGAAGAAACCATGCTCACACTGTAAAAAAAATATTGTTGGTTTAACTTAAAAAATTAAGTAGCCTGTTTGCCTTAAAATTTTAAATTGATTGAAATGGAAAAAGTGAGTTAATACAATGAAGGAGATTGATTTAATCATAATAAGTTATCTGAACTAAATACATTGTTTAAGTTGATTTGACAAAAGAAAAAATGCTGTGATAACAAATCTTGAAAATATTTTTTTTTACATTGCACAAGCTTGTATCTCCACTGAAGAACAGTGAGGTTTGAAAAATAAAAAGCAACATGTGCAGTAAAAATTCAAACCTGCAAACCACAAAACTTAGCAAAGCATATTCCCAACACAAATGATGAGTTTCATTTAAGGTAATCTTCACCCGTTCTACTATTAACCCAACGTATTAGCCATTATAGTGATAGAAATGGGTCAGTTTTCTATGACTATTTGAGATATATATATGAACCTGCAGTATGATTGCTGCTTAGATGCTTAGTTTCATAAAAGAAGAACTCCACACAACATGATTTTGCCTTTCAATATAGTACAACATTTTAATTATTGAATTGTCTGTGTAGGCCTGAAGCAGATTTGGCAGGGTGGAGGGAATTTGAACTAACTTCATTTAACTTAGCTCTGATGACAAATGCAAATCTCATCTAATGCTGACAGTGCCTTGAGGAATGAAGAGCTGTGTGCTATTAGCTTTCAGCCATCAGACATACTAAATCCGAACGGTGGATGGTAAAACCTGGAAATCCCAGGTCTACCTCATATATAGAAGCCATATTAAAATATCACACATACTAAAATATCTTCGAGACACTACCCCACACAGAACACCTTGAAAACTGCAATGCAATGCCCTGGCATCCATCCACAACTCCCTATAGCATTATGGTGCCGTTATAGTCTCTTCTGCTCACCAAGGCTAAATTTATATGATAAAAGATACTGTAAAAATGTAAGATGGTGAATTATTATTAAAATTTAAAACGTATTTTATTCCTGTATTTTATTGATCAAAGCTGTATTTACTCCAGTCTTCAGTGTCACATGATCCTTCAGAAATCATTCTAATATGATGATTTACTGCTCAAGAAACATTTATTATTGTTATCAATGTTGAAAACAGTTCTTCTGCTTAATACTTTTTTGTAAATCTTTTTATAAAAAGTAAAGCTCTAGTTTTAGTTAGTTCTACATTTGCCAGTGAGAACCACTTGCAATTTTCCAGCCAACCCGCTGGGAAAATAAGGTGCATTTCCACACAATTGTTCCTTTTTTTGCTGCAATTTTACACGGGAGGAAGGGGGGGGCTTCATCGCCCATCTCAAAAGAGACCCCTGTCCCCACCCCTCCTGTAACACTAACAAATACTCTCTTTGTGCAAGGAGGCAATGCAACATGGCAGCCGCACAATAGATAACACCCTCAGACCAGAGGAGTAATTACTTGCGAGCTCTTTTTCCCCCCTGGTGAGCTGCATTGGCATTCATTAGATAACCTCAACGGTGACATATTAATTACAGGGGCGGCTTGATTTGTGCGGTCTACTGGGAACTGGTTTTCCTGCTGTCTTCCTGTTGCTTTGATCAATTTTCGGCACCGCACCAAAAAAATACCAGAGAGCGGCAAAAATGAGGTGATGTAAGACAGGTGTGATTGATGAAGTGTTGATTATAGGGGACGGAGCCCTGGTGAAGGATGACCACAGCTAAACCGTCCATCTCCACGGACAGACGGAGGAACTAAACTAGTGTACACTCAAGCTGGTTGCCATGTTTCATCCCACCCAACCCAATTCATCCCACCAACAAGATAATAAAGGGGAGCATTTTGTGGCTGCCGGTTCGATTTCGGTACTGACCATTTTGGCATGATGTGCGTTCATTGGATCTGCATATTGTAGCAAGGCCTGGAACTGGTTGTTCTTGGTGAAGGTAATGATCTTGAGGACTGTTCCAAATTTTGAGAAGATCTAAATAAAGGAGAGGGAAAGAACATGAAGGTCAGCCATAATGAACAGAGTAGTTTAAGCCTTAGAGGGTTTGCTTATCTGAGCTGGTTTAGCAAGTTTGGCTGGTCTTTCAGCTGGACTCCCAACCTAGCCAAGGTGGTGTTTAATGGGTTTAGCTGATCAGTCATCTTATAAGTGCACAGAACCCCTCTAAAACCATGAATCCAATCTGACCATTGGATTCCAGCCTTGTAGACCTGCTGAGACTAGTAAACCACCTCAGGCTGGTTTAAGGATCTAGATTTTCAGGATCTAGATTTCAACTCATGAGTTCCCATGTGAGGGCTTCAATAAATTTAAAGTGTTTTAAGACACTTTGACCTTGTGGAAGGGTAAATTTATGTGGTTCCTAGGTGACAACAAAGAAGGAAGTGTACAGAGTAAACATTGAAAATAGAGCAAGCAAACGAACTTGAATATCCAGGGGATTGCTTGATATATTGCAGAGAGTAAAAAAAATGACTACATGATATCACTTGATATATTGATTAAGTCATTATTTACGAATCAAAAATAAGTACAGATACCTGAAGCAAATACAGAACAATTATCAATTTTGCCTTTTACAATTTTGGTGTAATGTAGTCTCACCTGGTGTAGCACTTCTAGAGACACTGGGTAGTAGAGATTCTCCACGATGATGCGAAGCACAGGACTTTGCCCAGGCATCATTCCACCATCACTGGCTGTCGCAGTCCCAGAGAGACCCATATTCCCAGAATGCATTGCATTGACAGCTTGCAGAGCAGCCTGAGCCCTCTACAAATAAGACATAGAATTAATATTAGGTCCAAACCCTTCTAAAACATTCCACTCATACAGAGTAGTACACACAAACACACCTCAATCTCACTACTGCATTGCAAGGACACTAAAATGCAGTGACAGCAATGACTCTGTAATGAGCCGATTTAATTAGGCCTACTGTAAAACTATTAGCTCTGGGTAAAGCAAAAGTATAAAGGAGGATCAAAAGTATGAGTTTGTAAAAATAGGGTTACATCTAGGTTTTATGTTAGAGCTTCATCTGCCTTTCAGGCACTTTCCACCGGGTAGACATGACTTTGAATCAAGTAATCAGTAAGTTTTATTAAAAAGTTTATTGTTTTGCCATTTTAAGACATACAGAGGTTGGTTCAAGTTGTCATAATGTATAAAGAGGAAATTGATTCATGATAGCTGATGGCTAGAAAAAAAACTTTATCTGAATTTTTTTTTAAAGTGAGTAAGATTGCATGTAGTCATGGTGTAAGGAAAATATTTAAAGCTACACTGTGTGATTTTTACCCCCATCTAGCAGTGAAAAGGTATATGACCACCCAGAGAACATTAGTTTCTGTTCCACTCAATTCCAATTTCGTTTTAACTGCTACGGTGGCCAATGTAGTCCAAGATTAACATGGCTTCCAGTTCGACCTCGTCCATGAGTGTTAACTCAAACGTAAACGCGAAAGGCGAAGCTTGAATTAACAGGTATGTCCCTCTTTGGCTAACGTACTTTCAAGATGGAGGGGCAACATGGCGACCGACATTAGAACCCCTTACCCGACCCGTATGTATTTTCAATGGCATATTATACACTCACGTGAACACTTTATTACTTGAACGAAGTGAATATACATTAATGATACATTAATGAGCACATAGATTTTTGAAAGAACTAAGTGTTTTTAGCTAAGAATAAACTAAAAGAGTTACACAGTGTAGCTTTAATTATTTTTTACTAGGGGTGTAACGGTACACAGCAGTCATGGGTCAGTACTCAGTAAATACCTCGTTTTTGGGGTCATGGTTTTGGTAAGAGTTCGGTACAACAGGAAAAAGCAACAAATCCACAATACTAGGTTTATTTTGAACATACAATAGTGCAATTGTGCTAACTAACGGCATTTAGTTCCCTAGTTGGTACAGTCCAGCCTCGTTTAGTGTTTCAAGCACTAAGCAGTAAACAGAACACACTCTTGCACTGGTCATATTTTTTGTAGGGCTGATAAAAAAGCAAAAGGTATTTGGTCACAATCAGCTATAAAATGAAAAAGCATCTCTTCTGTTATAAAAGTAAAAAAAAGAGATCTTTTTTTAACTGGTATAGTCTTTTTCAACCTAGATCTGATGATTAGCACTTGAATCGAAACTTCTTCTGCTCCTTTTCCTGTTGTGGTGGTTAGCAAACAGCGTTGCATTACCGTGAGCGCCCCCTTCTGGATTGGAGTGTGGATCGCCTGTGGCCAGGTGTGTAAAGTCCAGTCCAGAAAGAAAAAGTCCATCTCAGTATTTTTTTTCCAATCACCTGGATTTGCTAATTAGCACAGTTGTTCAGCCAGGAGATCAGCTGAAATCAGCTGGAGAGTTCATTGGTAGAAGAAACATAGGGCAGGACTTTTACTTTCTGACCCCAGGACTTTACACCTCTGCCTGTGAGACTGACCATATTCATTGTCTGACTGTATGCACCAAACCGTGACGTCGGCATCGTGATAACCGATGATAACCTGGACATTAATAACCTGACACCTGCATTTAAACAATTATTTTTAAATGATTCCTTTAAATGAATAAATGACCTTAGATAACTTTATTTGGTATTGACCGTACTATGGTAGTGAAAGGGCTGGTTTAAAGCGTGTGTGTAATTCTCACCCCTTGATTGGGCAGATTATCGGTCTTGAGCTCACGGTGGTTGGAATACTGGATGTAGACGGGCTGGTTGCGGACATGGGGTGTAGCTGTGGTGTAGTAGTTGACCATGGTGATGGCTGCTTCTTCAGAAGCCATTTCTATAAAAGCCTGTAGTGCAAACAGAGACATACTGTAAGTGCTAAATCAAATAAAAAATAAAAATAAAAATAGAAATAAAAATCATCAAGCTAAAAAAAAATTAAGATAAATATTAGGAATTATAATAAGTGCTGCTTTGTACAAGCATAATCAATGTCGGTAGCACAAACAATACGGGACGAAGTTTAATATTCGGAGTTTTGTTCAAATCACTAATCCTAAGACCGAGCCATAAAATAGTGATGCTTGTCTTAACAGGCGCCACTAATAATTATTCTTACCTCATCAAGCAAGGTGTGAGATTTATAGATGCAGAATCCAACAATAAACTGAATCTTTTGAAGCCCCAATCAAATCAACCAGCAAACAGCAAATTATGCAACAGGGGCATTAGAAATCTGTCTGCCTGTCTTTTATTGTCTAAATATGCCATTTTAAATTTGAATATGAAAAGGCACTCAAGTAGAAGCGGGAGACTGCGGTGTTTTTGCAGGGCTTCTGTTATTAGATGGACCTTGATGTGTTTGAAAGGACGCACACTTCAGTTTCTATCACTGGCCACCACTAATGAAGCTAAAGCAGATCTGGACCCTTGTCCTCAGGATCCCTTAGAAAGGAGAAAATGCAGGCAAAATGATTCTTCGATGGTGGCGTTTCTTGGTATAGTGGGTTTTTACGGGTCATTCATGACAAAAAAAATCATTCTTCTGGGAGTTAAACAGATATCAAACAAACAGAGTTTCTTATGAACTACTCGTGGACTGTTAGTTCATAAGAAACTCTGTTTGTTTGAGATCTGTATGATTTTTTATAACAGTTAATTGAGGCTACTTAACATGCTTAATTGTCATTAAAAACCTTAATAGGCTTAATTTTTTACGTCTACAATCCCCAAAAGCACCCACACACTGTAAGATAATCGGGCAGATTTTGAGCCCAATTCTCCCCTTCCGACAATCCTAGATAAAGTCCCAATTTTCCAGTGGTGTAAGGTGTGTTAAGAGTGATTGTATCTGGACGGAAGAACATCAGGACTCAGGGCCATACTGATCTCATAGCGTAAATATCCAACATGTTGAATATTAACGATCAGAAATCCTGTTGTTGTGGGGGGAACTGAGGACAAATGTGCACGTGTGCTCTGTAGATTGTCACATGGACCGATAACAAATTAGAAAGCGAGCTGACGATAGCATAACTTTTTTCTTTTTTACCATAAATTTTCAGTAAAAAGCAGTCTGAACACTATTATCGACATTTCTTTTTGGCAGTCTTTTTTTGCTATGTTTGCAGTCTACGTTTGCTATGTTTGTTTACTCTAAAGTCATGTTTGACAGGAAGAGATTTTGCGAGATTTCCTGTGTTCACAGTCGGGACTGTTAAATCGTTAGTGTGTGTTGTGCCGTCTTAGTCATACTATACTATAGTCATAGATATTTTATAAAGACAGTTCACTTCCTGTATACAGACAGGAGCCATCTTGGAAAACAGTCTCGACAAGTCGAACCACAAAGCCGTTCATACAGTTCAGATCACTCAGCACGTCGTTCGTGGTTTGACTAGTCGAGACTGTTTTCCAAAGATGGCTCCACGAAGTGAACTGTCTTTATAAAGTATCTTCTTATTAAACGGTCTGTACATTTACAAAGTTCTCAATGCTTCGTTTTGCATGTATGGACCCTCATTATGTTACTGTGTTAGTGTGGGGCTATTTTGAGCCTTGTTAGTGTATAAACTAGCGATTTCTTTTTACTTATTATATGCCCCCATTACTAGCGTTATACGCTAAACAGTTTTTAGAGATAAAACTCTTTACATTCGATTATCATGAAAACAAATCTCAGAGAACAGTCGACTAGGTACCAATTTGTTATTAGACCAAAGGTTCATTTTGTGCTGGAGTTCTCCTTTAATTAGCCCAGTTCATTAAATAGGATCCAAGCAGAGAAGCGACCAAAACACATCCACGTTTTCCCTATATAAATACAGTTACACGAGTAGTGTAACTCGACCAAGAATAGTGACACAAAATAAAACGTGTAAAGTGGATAAATAATGTATGGCGGAATACCACAGCAAATGCTTGGGAGCACTTCGACTCGGTAACTCATGAAAAATCCTCTCCCTCTCCGGAGTGATGATATTACTGCGCCAAGTCCATAGATATATATGCACCGAGTCGAAGTGCTCCCAAGCACTTGCTGTGGTATTCCACCATACATTATTTATCCACTTTACACACTTAGAAAAGCGCAATGTTTTATTTTGTGTCACTATTGTGTCACTATACTCGTGTAACCGTATTTAAATAGGGAGAACGTGGATGTGTTTGGTCGCTTCTCTGCTTGGATCTTACTGAATGAACTGGGCTAAGTTAAGTGCTATCAAAGTGTAAGAGCGATTGAGTGCACACACCGAGACGAGAGAGGTATGCATCAACTCGTCTTAGTTAAGGGAATAACATAGTTTTAAAAAAAAAGGTGGAGTATCACTTTGAAGAAATCTTTTAGTGTGGCCCAGCCTTAAGACAATGGCATTGTCACACCATTGTCCTCATTGGGACCCACATTTCCAAAATCCTGTTAGTTACACCATGTTAAACCACACAGAGGTTTAACAGTGGGAATATGTACGCTGGCTTCCTCTGATCTTATTCATGCCATTTAATCCGGAAATTCCACCACTAAACCAACTTGAAAGCATAAGGTGCCAGCTTCCGATAGTCCTGCTACTAACTTACAGAGCTTGAAGATATGGCAGAGATATGTTCACAGGTTCATGGAGCACCTACTTGGTTTTTCCCTTTAAGCATCAACAGGTTGGTGACTTTGCCAAAAGGGATTCCTAGTGAGACGACCTCTGCTTCAGACACTTCGATGGGAACTTTGCGGACGTGGAGGACGCGGGAGGGGCCACAGGGAGATCGGTCTCCTTTGTATGTTTTACTGTCAGTGCCATTAGCTGCCAAAAAGGGGAAAAAAAGAGACAGATTATCCATTTTTTGATTTGACCAGTTTTCCAAATGCCAAAACTGGCATTGATGTACATGGAAATTACAAAAACAAGACCCACCAAACACCACTATTATCGATTGAACGACACCAAAAAGGTCACAGTTACAAAAACATTTGGCCTCACGAAGGACCTAGAATGAATTTAACAAGATACACAAGACAGAGAGATATAGGCAGAAACATAAAACTGACAATATGTCGGTGGTGGGCATTTTCTCTGATGCTCCCCCCGAAACAATACAACAAGCCTCTAACAGGATTAAGCAGACCTCTGAAGTCTGTCAAGGCTCCAAATGGGGCGTTTGGCACTTGGCTATGTCCAGGGGCACATCACAGGCTGGTGACAGGTTTAACAGAGACAGACCATGGTGTCGTGTCTGCCTCAGATTTCAACACTTACAGCTTTCACATTCTTGCAAGCCCATGCAATCCTTGTGTTCGTCTGATTGCAGATAACGGCATCAAAGCCGAATGTATTATACGTAATTTATTATTATTTTTTTTTACCTACACAGATTACAAACTGCAGACTTGTGGTCAATTTGCCCAATTTCCCATTGACTGTCCAAAAATCACACCACTGAGCCAAAAGATGACATGTCACAATATGTTTGAAAGCACCACAAAGCCCTCATTCTTCAGGAAGTCAATGTGCAAATGGCTTTTGTAGAATTGTCTCTAAACATTAAACTGGGACAGGACAGGAAAAAGCATTTTATCGCTGAAAAGTTGTACACTTCAACGTGAAGCAATTCCAGAAGACAACACAAATGGGCATTTTAGACTGGGCTCGTATGTGTTTGTCTGGTCATTAGTAGGCCATGTACGAGTGATGAACTTAAAGGGAAAGTTCACTTTGAAATTATTTTTGATATGTTTTAGCTTACCTAAAGGGCATCCAATATGTAGGTGTCTTTGTTTCCACAGTATTTTCAATTTTGACATTTTTCAGTCAAACCGTTGTTGTTTATCAGTCATACACTGGAGGCTAAGGGGTCCACCAAAAAGCATGCACAGAGAAGTCAAAATTAAACATGATTTAATGTCTTGTAAATGTAAGTACACATTGATGGCCTAAGACACGAAACGAGCGTTTTTTGTGAAAACGAAACGATCGTTTTTACCTTGTGTAATCACAGTGACGTCCAAGTGATCTGAATCAGTTGTGCAATGTCCAACTGAACCGAACTGAATCAGTTCAATGTTACGCCGGAAGTGATCGCTTTCGTGTGACCTCACTCAATATTTACACGGAGATTTCGTCAGTTTTACCTTTTTACACATTTAGATATACCGAAATCGTCTTCCATTGCGGTTTCCCGTATATCTAAATATGTTTAGTGAAAGGTAAAACTTCCGAAATCTCTGTATAAACAAAGAGTGACGTAGGCGCGCAAGCGATCACTTCCGGCGCATGCGCAGACCGAAGCGCCCGTGCCGTCAGATCATTTTGTCATGGCTATGATTACAAGAGGTAAAAACGATATAAATACTGTTCGTTTTCTGACAACCGCTCGTTTCGTGTCTTAGGCCATCAATGTGTACTTAGATTTATGAGTCATTAAATCATGTTTAATTTTGACTTCTCTGTGCATGCTTTTTGGTGGACCCCCTTAGCCTCCAGTGTATGACTGATCGACAACAACGGTTTGACTGAAAAATGTCAAAATTGAAAATACTGTGGAAACAAAGACGCCTACATCTTGGATGCCCTTGAGGTAAGCTAAAACATATCAAAAATGAATTTCAAAATGAACTATCCCTTTAAAAGCTCTATTACTGTAATACAGGTCTGCAGTCTCATTCAAATATGGGTCAAATCTTCCTCAGATTGTATTTGGGGTAAAAATGGTACCATGTTCCCCATGATGAATGCAGTATTGTGCAAGTATGAGTGACTGAGATAACTCTTTCTCTCTCTTTCTCACGCATTGATAAACTCTTTCTTTCCAAAGTTAAGCCTGTCGACGAGAGAAAGCAGCGAGAAAGAGCAGTGCACAAAAGAAAGTGCTGCCATCAGCACGACGACCAGCCACAGTTGAAAAAATTAACAGGCCCGGCACAGTGATCCAATCTTTTCCTCACAGTCCAGAGATCTTTACAACACAGCATAGACCTAGACCCTTTCCTCACAGCCCAGCACAGTGATCCCATCACCTCCCCTTTTAACCCAGTCCTTCTACTACACAGTACCAGCTTGACTCGACCCGACTCAACTCAACTCGGTTTGGCTCGGCTCGCCTTTGTTTGGTTTTCCACTGTGTAAAAGTTGTACCATTTCCAGCTTTTGGGTACTTTGAGGTTCTGAGCAAGGCGAGCTAAGGCGATACTAAAATGTCACGTGAAAACAATGCCGAAAGCTGATTGGTCAGAGAGAATCGTTACCATTCACTGCGTCTTCATTACACGCGCCAGATGGAGTATCCAGAATAACCCCGCTATTTTTTATTGTGGAAACTTGGAAAAATACGCTGTGGTCAAACGAGGAGGTGCAGACTTTCCTTTGTTTGGTGGCCGAAGAGAGGATCCTGCGAAAGATTGATAGGGCAACGAGGAACGAAAGGCGTTGCTATGACGAACGGGTACTATTTGTGGCAGTACTGTCTGCAATGGAAAACGGAAAGAAAAGCGAGCTGAGGCGAGCCGAGTCGAGTTGGTACTGTGTAGTGGAAAAGCGCCATTAGAGGAAGGACTGGGTTAAGAGGGGTGGGATGGGATCACTGTGCTGGGCTGTGAGGAACGGGTCTAGATCTATGCTCTGTTGTAAACAGATCTTCAAGCTTCACCTGGTCTCAATAGGCTTTTTCTTATACTCCCACCACTACAGGCTCACGTTTACAGCCAACTTCCCATTTATGATGCAACACTGACACTAAAAGGTGAAGAACCTATGTGAAATTCACCACAGAGAACAGATTTACAACAAAAAATGATCAACCCAACATGCACTAAGCAACAACATGGAGTCCTATGAGTGTTATCATTTGCGTTGTTTTTCAAGATTTTCAACACCATGATAAGCGTTGAATTCTTCCATGACATCATAAAATGAACTAAAGGAGACTATACTGTAGCACTGTGGGGAAAATAAGTGTGCTTAAACCATGTTTGCAAACATATACACATACTGATGCAGATCAAATATAATCAGGGTTTCAAATGTCTCGCCCAGTCTGACTGGAACAAATTCAAACCCGTATTTAATACTAACGAGGTCTGCCCGGCATCAAGATTTCGTCGAAAGAAATATGGATAATGAAAAACAAGCTTGCATCTGCAAGACATCTACTGTTAACACACAGAACATGAGTGCGATTAAATAGGCAACCAAACGAAACCTGCAGTGGAATAACTCAATGCAGGCAGAGGCAGTAGCCCACCACATGCAGAGCGTTAAAGAAACTAGATAATCCCTTTACAGAACAGGCAGATTGTATTCACATTATTTTCCCACACTGCAGAAAGTACACAACATGCTGAAAGAGTATAACACTGATGTTGAATAGCCCTTAGTCTGCAAGTTTTTCACCCTGGAGGCTCATTGAGAATATGAAAATGTTCAAGTTTTAATAAGCTCAATTATGGAACTTTAGCACATTTTAAAAACCTCATATGCAAGCCCTTACATGCATAATCTTTCATCATTTTTCCTTTAATATTACTGAACCTTGACTGCAAGTGGGGATTTATATATGACGCATGGACGAGACCCTGACGTATCCTAGAGACAGGCATCTCGCCACATATCAGCCACCAGGACAACGGGAAGATGATTGGTCCACTTTTCCAATGACCCTGTGTTACCATGGTGACCATACACATGACCTATCAAGGCATCTGGCTTCTCCATGCCAATTCATCTCATTGTGTCGTTAACAAATCTTATTGTTGTGCATTTAATGTGATTAGAGGAACCATCCCTGAATCGAATATGCCACAGGCTTTTCAAGAGGAAATGAGTAAAAAGGATCTTTGAAATGCACTAGCCACATATAAACTCTATGGAATGGTCTGTGCTAGCAAATCTAGATAGATTTCCAATAGTATTTAAGATTACCAAAGTTTTTAATAATTGCCCTTTATAAACTTTGATAAATCATTCTGTTTTGTAGGCAAGAAATGACAACATTTAAAAGGAATAGGCCTAAATAAAATAGAGCATAAAAATAGTAAATGATGACCAGTTTTGGCTGAAGTATTATACATGATCAGTGTTGGGAGTAACGCATTACAAAAGTAATACATTACAGTAACATATTACTTTTTGCTGTAACGCAGTAGTGTAAGGCATTACTAATCAATTTTCAGTAATATTTTACTCGTTACATGTTCAGTGAGGCTTGTATTACATTTGTATTACAGTGAGGCTTGACTTTTAGTTTTAATTGTAAAAAAAAAAATAAGTTACCTGTTCGTGGTCAGTCAATAGCCACGTGTGGTGTCCAAGTTTGTAAATAAAGGCTGATATATCTGTATAGCGATTTATTTTCTACAGGAGTGCGGTGAGGCATGATTTCGGCCTCTGTGTTCACGCTGGCCAGTGGAAAAGCGCCTAATGGGTGAGCATGGCATGAAGAAGACCATATTCGTGAGATGGACGTATGCACATTAGGCTATTCGTTCTGTGTTTTCTTTTTAAACAGTTAGGCTGTGTATAGGTGGTATCTGTCATGTTTTCCTCACGCAATCATGTTTTTGATGCGGTGGTGACGTGTTCATGTAGTAAGGGTGGCGATAATAAAGCACTTAAAAGCTGAAAAAGCAAAGATTATGAATATGTCAAATATGCCTTTAGCAAGGAGACTTGAATTGTTTAGTAATAAAGATGAAGTTGACGATGCTGACTCGCGATCTTCGCAGTAGGCTAGTGAATGCGAAATGCACATTTCATTTCATAAGCAGAGAGCAGTCTGTTTTCTTTCATTTTGAATTGTTCTGTTTACAAGT